TGCTGCACAATGACCAGTGCTACTAAAGTTCAGGAAGTTTAAACCTACCAGTGATAATCAACAGGCGAATTTTCTTGGATATCCTGAATTCACCAGACCAGAAGAAAGTGGAATCCGCGATTTATATTCGATATCATGAGTTAATTTTCTCCATCGCCAAATCAAATGTTATCTTATAAAAATTTGAATTTTTTGTGCGGGAATTTGAACTGGACGCATACAAAGCAATCGTAAACCACTCCGCAAACCGATTCGTAAAAGCAGCTCTACTTTTTTTTATTTTTTTCAAAAACCACTAAATATTTTTACCACTAAATATTCTAAAGTTGACGGCAGCAGCAATTTATAACAATTCCGAGTAGTTATGAATGTTTCTCATTGTTTACACCGCTTAACCTTGCAGACACCTGAGACTTAGAAATTCAAAAAGTGGCGAATGAACACAGGCCTAACGATTCGAGAGCAGCCCTGTCATCCTGCCAACTTTAATTCTTTTCCTGACAAGAGCCCGAGAGGTAGTTGAGAATAAAACTAATATGATCCTGGTTTCAGTCGTTCGATGGCCGTGTTATTAGGCAGGTTCATCCAGAACACTAATTTTTTTTTTGGATCATAAAATTTCTCTGCTGCTCTATGTCTGTATATGATTTTCTCATCCGTCATTGCTTTCTGACTTTAGGCTTATTTTGTTCTAATGTATTGTTTCTGAACATTACGATACTGTATAAGTCTGTCTGTGTGTAACATATTAATTCGTAGTGTATTACGTAAGTGCTTTCCATTTAAGCAGCTTTCAGGGTACTTTTGTATTTTGGATTTTTTTGAAGTTTCTGTACTGGAGGAGTTATGGAAGTAACGGCAGAAGAGGACGGAGTCAGTAATGTCTGTAAGGGATCGTCGGAACCAGTATCAAATAAAGAGAGGACAACAGTACAGAAAACTGAAGCTGAGATATCACTTCATCCTTTGGTTATTATGAACATATCCGAGCACTGGACTCGTCTCCGCTCGCAGAATGCTGATCGCCAGCCTGTCCAAGTAAGTTCTAAAGCTTTTTCAACGGCATCCTGAAGTAAGCAGTTTGTGTGAAGTAAGGCATTAGTGTTCAGTTTCTGTGAACTTTTGGTTCTTCGGGTTGTTAAGACGTAAGTAACAGCCGAATTGGTTTTTTTTTTTACAAAATTTGTTTAGGTATATGGAGCAGTGTTAGGCAAACAGGTGGGAAGACATATGGAGTTAATCAATAGTTTCGAGGTGAAATTGAATAATCCTGATAATGGTTCACTAACTTTAGATGAAGAATATTTCAGGACAAGAGAGGGCCAATGTAAGATGAGTTTCATTAAATTATCATTTGAAAATAATATTGATTTTTTTCTTTTATAGTTAGTCTAGTTCATGTTACTTCAACCTATTGCTAGTAATTATGTTTTATTTTATTCTTATCCGTACTTATTTGATTCGGTACACTTTTAATACGACTTTTTCTTTTTCTTTTTTTTTTTTTTTTT